TTTTGGGCCATGATAATTTAGGAAACCCTGGATGGTGCTAGAAAGTGGAACAACCTTAACAAAACCAAGACCAAGAAATTAGCATAAATAAGGGTTTTATTGGTCAGTTTGCATGAATGACATACTGACATGCCCCCAATTCACTGTTCCACATACCAAGACCCTGAGGTGACAGGAGGAGAAGCTAAGCCCATTGATGGTGAGAAAAGAGTGGGAGGTGGGAAGCACATGAAGGCCTCTGAGGGTTAACAAGGCTACTGGGACAGAGACCCAGACCAACGACCTAGGAATAAATCCAGGATGGAAAAGGCATCATCCAGGGCTGGAGCTGTTGGTGATTCTGGATCTAAGAAAGAAAGTGATACACATAGACACACTAAATGGCTAGGCAGAGGCAAAGGATGGGAATAATATTAAAAAGTAGAAGAGTAAGGGTTTTCCTTTTCCAAAGAATTAAAAGATGGATCCCTTTGATTCACACTCTTCACTTACCATCTTTAGGACTGCCATCTGCTTCTTGATGGATTACTGTGGTTTCTTTTCGGCCCTCACTGTCCACCACAGTCCGGCGCTCCTCTACTGTCTACAAGGAGAAGCCCCCACCATATCCTTATCATCACTAAAGGTGAGGTCCCTGGTTTCTTTATAAAGATCCCTCTGTCCAAAACACCCTTAGCCACAGTTCCTTTTACCCTTCTCCCCAACTCACCCCATCTGGCCTAGTGATCTTGGTCACAGAGACACTCTTGAAATAGGATTTGGGCTGGGGCTGCAGAACTGGGCCAAGGCCCTCCTGGGAAACCTGGGAATCAAGATCTAGAAGGACAGAGAGAAGAAACAGGAAAGAAAGAATCTAAGGGAAAGAAGGAACAAGTGTCTCAGGAAGAAACTTTCGGGAGAGAGAACAGAGAGAACTTCTGAAGAACAACAGAGGCTGGTAGATGTCCTCTCAGACTCACCCTTGTCCTCTTTGGCTCTAGACTGGGGGGTCACAGGCCACATATCATCAAACTGCAGAAGCCAAAGGAGATGAAATGACATCTTTCAATCTGAAACTTGAGGAGTCACAGAACCCAAAATATTCCCAACTTCCAAAACCACCTCTCCCCAGGAGATGATCCCATTCACGATCGCTTTATTTACTCATTCTCTCTCTTTCCTAGCTGTTTAATGTATCCTTCTACCAAAAAAGCCTTTTTGCCCTGGCTGGTGTGGTTCAGTTGGTTGGAGTATCATCCCCTGCAATGAAGGGTTTTGGGTTCGATTTCCAGTCAGGTCACATACCCAGGTTGCAGGTTTGATCCCCCATCAGGATGTGTGCAGAGGCAACCTACCAGTATTGATGTTCCTCTCTCTTCCTCTCCATCTCTCTCTCAAATTAATAAAGACATATCCTTGTGTGAGGATCGAAAAAAAAAATAAATGAATAAATAAATAAAAGTGGGGATAGTAAATTAAAAAAAGAAAGAAAGCCTTAATGAACTGTTACTTTCCTGACCTCCCCCAATAATCCTGTCTTGACCAAGAATCACACAGACCAGTGTTTCGTTTGTTTTTTTTTAAAGAAAAGGCAGAACTCCTATTTTCCCCCAGAGAAAATACTACAAGCAGCTTAATATAGGAAACAGATAAATACACTAAGTGGAGGGCCCAGAATTTCAACCCAAGTCTGTTAGATTCCAACAAGGATTTTAGTTTTCGCACTCTATCAGGTGTCTCCCATAGGCCTTCATTTCCGGCTCAGATGTACTCACCCTATGAAAAGGTCTCTGGGAGCCCCAGTCTGGTGCTGGTTTTGGAGAGTCAGTTCTTGCATCACTCTCCAAGACCCCCCCAAAGATCCTGTGTTGGTGACTATCTGGATACTTAAGCATCGAGTCCCGAAGTGTCTGTCCCTCCCGCAATCTCTCACTAGGTGTCTCTGACTCGGGACCTGGAAGTTCTGCCGAAAGATGGCAAGTGTACGGATGCTGGGGGAGGGAAAGGGCTTGGGATCTCCTAATCCCCCTTGAAATCATCAGTCTTCTCATACTTCCCACCCCCCAACTACTTTCTGCAGGCTCTTTATTTCACCCACCCACCCAGTAGAAACCATAGGTTCTCCCTCAGGGGCAGCCACACACCAGGAGGACGGGAAGGCAAGGTCCAGGCCCCCATCTCGCTGAAGATGTTATTAAAATCCCGTACTAGGTCATCAAAGCCGAAGTTGTCGTGGAAACGCATCCCTCCTCCAGGGGTGAAGCTGAAGCCGAAGCCAAATTCCTCAGGGGGTTGGGGACCCTCAAACCTCGAGCTCCCAGGGCCCCAGGTGGCTCCCCCTTCTTCTTCATCGTCATCCTCATCTTCATCTCGAGTCATCCCTCCAAAAAAGGGATCTCTGTGGCTGGGGTGGAGGCAGATTGGCCACCAAAATTTCAGCACTCACTCCTTCAACCATAAAATCAACTCATGGGTGGCAAAGTGGGACAAGAACAGGTGTCTGGGGAGCTGGTGTGAGGATTAGAAGACTGGCCATCGGGGTATTGTTTTTAATCAGGTAGTCCTCACCTCGGGACCCCTCCCAAACACCGCCCCTCCCTCCTCCCAAGGTCCTGCTCACGCGCTCACTGACCTCCACCCCGCAGCCCCACTGTCTCCCCCGCCCGGGCCCTGTTGCATCACCCCAGAGTGGAGAAAGGCTTAAGCTGTTGCTTTTCCTCCTAACGACCGCCTTGGTTACTGTCGCGGGGTGAGTGTTCAATGTTGTGACTTCTGTTCTCCACAGGAGTTGGAGTGGAGATAGATGTTTTTCCAAATATACGGTGTCAGAGGTCAAGCTCCCCTCAGAAGACCTCCCCCTCCCTTGTCCGACCCGGATCCATTCTCACCTCCGAGGTCCAGAAAAGCCGAAAAAGCCCCGAAAGAGGTCAAAGAGGCTCATTCCCGTATTGGGATTCGAACCTCCAAAGCCCACCTGAGGCCCATTCACACCGGGAGGAAAGCCGGGGCTACGCCGTCGGAAATTAAGCGAAGAGTCAGCTTACGCGGCCGGAAAGCAAACCTGAGATCGACACCCCGTCGTAAAACGGCCGTAAGCAGGACGCGGAGGGGGCGGGGCAGACGGACCTCTCAAATGCGAAAGGCTTTCATTTCACAGCGGCAGTTCGTTTGTTTTTTTCCTGGTAGTGGGCGTCCTGAATTTTCATCTTCCAACGATCACCTGTCTCCTAAGCCAATTCTCTCTCCTGCCGACCAACCCGGCCCAACACGGTATCGCGAGGGTTTAATGGTGCCGATAAAGCCGCCAGAGCAGCCCACCGCACAAATGAACCGGTCCCGCGCCCGCCCTCGCCCTCACCGCCGGTTCACCACCCCCGGTTCAGTCCCCCATCTGAAACCACCGGGCGCCTTCTTGGCTGGCCTCAGTGAAGTCTGAGAGGGATGGACAAAATATTTCACCAAGCTCCTTCAGTACCCAACTCCCCGGCCTTAAGGGGAGTCAGACGTAGGGACACATGCATTTACTCTTTCCAGCTAAGGAGCTTATCACCATAAAGGATCCTTTTAATTTTCCTATGCAGACTTTACAACCAGCAGAATAAAGGCTTTGTGAGAGACCAAGGGAAATCTAGTGGAGTCTCAAAGAGAAGAAATAATTTGGGGCTCTTAAGTATCCCCCTTTCCCTATCATTCATGGCTTTCAAAGCCTTTCCCTCCTGCACTCCTACCCCAATCTCATCCCTGGCCTTCCTCTAGACTCCTTTTTAGGGGTTTGGGTATAGCTATGGAAAATGAAACCACTCAAGCAGCAAGAACTATTTCTAGGAAAATTTAGTCCCAAACCTCAGTTTTTCCAGGACACCGTGCATGTTGCCCTACTTGGCAATTCACTTGCTTGGACTCAGCTAAATTATACTTTGACTTTACAAAGGCATTTCTTTCAGCTCCTTCTTAATCCTCTCCCTTTCCACCCAATATCCACTCTCCCACTCCCTTTACTGCCTGAAATCTGCCGTATAGGTAGCAGTTTTTGAAGGGAATGAAGATTTGAGGTGGTTCTTCCCAGGCAACAGGCTGTGAAATTCTTAGGGGAGAAGGGAAGAGAATCCCCTGATGGGCACAATACTAAATCATTAAGGTCAGAGGTGTTCTTAAAGGATGAAGATTTCATTTTATTCCACTGCCTTCGGGGCCTGCTAGAAGAGGCCCAGGTGGTACAGTAATACTTATTCACCAAGCTGGTCATCCGCGAGACTGAGGATGTCCTAGACGGAGCAAGAATGGGCAGAGGCTGAAGGTAGATGTTTTCTTTTTATATATACAAGACACATTAATCCATTAAATTTGAAGACACAGTACAAAAAAAAAAAAAAAACCACTTCAACTAATCCATCTGACAATGCTGTTCATATTCATGACGCCATTTTTTGTTGTTGTTTTGCTTCCTAATAATAAAGGAGGAGACATAGGGCTGTTGGGCTGATATATATTTGGGGGTTCCCCCTCCCCACCTCACCCATACACCACCAGGGTGAACAGGAGGAAAAGGAAGGGCAGGGCCCACAGCAAAATTTCATAATCTTGAATGCAAGGGGGAAGGAGGAAAGGAAAGGGGGGGGGAGTGAAAATACAAATCCTATAATACATACAACAGAGTGGGGATGGTATGGGAATGAACAGACATGGAGCTGAGGCATGGGGTGGGCCACGGGGGTGAGGGTGGGGCAGCGGAACCCCTCCACATTCCTCTCTTTGATGCTGTTTCCATAGTTGCCAGGCTGAGAAGCCCTCTCAGAAGATGGGACCAGGAAGAGAGGGTCACAGGGCCTCAGTTGGCCCCCCAGCTGTAGCTGTTGTAGGCAGACTTGTTGGTCTGGGGCTTCTGCGGGATGGAGCTGGTCTGGCTACGTTGCCCGCTGCCCGTCTGCAGGGGAATGGGAGGATGATGGGGAGGAAAAAGGTGTCTAGTTAGTGTGACAAATTTGTGACATCTTCAGGTGGAGATTTGGAAATCATCTTGCTTTCCCATTCCCCTTGCTTAGAAACTATTCTGAAGCTTCTCAACCACAGAAAATTTGGTTTATATGGCTGCTAAAGCACCTCTGACCAAAAAAACAAAACACAAACAAAAAGCAGCAAAAATCCCCGCAAAAAACCCTTTAAACAGGGGAAAGATGAAAAGAGGGCAAGATACCTTCAGAGATTAGACAGTGAATCAGTTCTACTCATTTTCAATTGTACCGTCTCCTCCCCTCATTCCCCTGCTCTGAGAAAAGGCAACTCTCTAGAGAGAATTATGGCCTCTTGAAGATGAGCGATCACAAGCGATTTCATTTTCATTAATCCCCAGGAAGGCCTCATTTGGAAAGCTGCCTTTGAGAGCAAAGAGGCCCTTATTCCATCTCCCAGGCACCTATGGTGGAGGAGGTCACTTGTACCATCCCATGGCTCCCCACCCCTGCCACATGTATCATATCTGTGAGCCTATTACAGGCAAGGTGGAGAGACAGTCTCAAGGCCCCAGGCTTCAGATGCTGCCCCCAAGAATCCTTTCCATTGCAGTAACCAAGTGTTCCCAGAGGCGGGGTAGGGCAGAAAGAAAGAGAGCATTGAGGAGGGGAGGACAAGAGAGGATGGGAGGCCAGAGAGCTCAGCAAGGTGTTTGTGTTTGTGTATCCCGATTTGTGATCGTGCAAACTTTTCTCAAATTCCCTAAGGCTGTGGAGGTGTAATGGGGACTGAAAAGGAGTGGGTTCAAGCATATCATTCAGTTTCATTACCTGCTCCTCCTGCTGGCGCTGGCAACAGAGAATCATCTGCAAATATGGTAGCTGAGGCAGAACCAGGATATATGGAAAATAAAGGGACAAACTTTGACAATAGAACTCCACCATTATTAGACGGGAAAGCTATAATGTGAGGGAAGGGGGAGGGCTGGGAGAGGCAAGAGGGAAGGTGTGACCCAGGTCTGATGGGATGAGGAAAACTGTGATATGGGAGGAGGTGGAGGAGAAAGGCACCAAAGGAATTGGGCAGAATTAGGTTTCAGTCTGGCCCCTTCTCTGACATCTCCTTTGCCGGCCACTCGTGTTATGTGCGCTTGTGTCTGTAATGTGCTGTGTGCCCATGGCTGGCGCTGGGGAGAATTGGGTGGAGGTGGTGGTGAGGAAGGGTAAGAAAAGGAAAGGGGAGGCAGTTTTAAGGGATAAGAAGGAAGAGGAAGAGAAAGGATAGAGGGAGGGCTATTACCTGGCCATCCTGCTGTAGGTGATGGTGAAGGATCTGGGAGTGCGGCTGCTGATGGGGGGTCAGAATGTGCATAAAGGGGGCAGGTGGGTAGGCAGCAGCTGTGGCTGGATTGATGGGCCCCCCACTTCCTAGGGCTGAAGGCAAGTTGAAGGAGGCAGCCGGAGTACCGGAATGAAAACCTTGTTTCTCAAAGGATTGCTATGCAGGAGGATGGGAGGAGAGAGTAAAAGGGATCAGCAACGAATCCTCAGGATTTGAGCCCAAGCTCTCCCACCCTCAAAAAGCAGCATGGTGTCAGAGAAGGAATGCTGCACCTGAAGTCAGATATTCAAGTCTGTCTCAGCTCTGCACTTTAATAGCTGTGTGACCCTGAGAAAATTACTCTCAGCTTGTTCTCGCATATATAAAACAGGGATGCTTAGTTGTAAGGACCAAATGAGAAGCTGGGTGTGAAAGCACTTTATAGAAATCTGTCATATACACACACAGTGAAACCTGCTGACATTCCTTAGCTCCCCTATCTCTGGAGTTGGGCAGAAATAGGAACCCCATGGATTTTTCAGAAGAAATGCTGAGTTATCTTTAGTGTTAAAGGTCGTGGCCATGAAGCACTCCACTATACCTCCTAATGCTTTATATCAAACTTTAAATTTATGGTGGTGGGAGAAAAAAAAATCTGTGGATAACGCAAATGCTTCACTTTAGTTACTGACATGGGCTTTGCCCACTCCTTTGCCACTCTTTATTATAGATATACTTAGAAAGAAGGGAATGAACTTACTTCCCTTCATTCCATATTCATTCTCTTTGAAAGTTATGAAAGTTTGGGTGTGCGTACGGACACAATAAATCACATGACACATTACAATTTTCCAACCTTCCTATGACATTTCTCGTTTGTTCTCTCCCTCCCTGAAGACTAAATTTAAGCTTCCTTGAGAAACTCAAGTCTAAAGATGAATCATTAGCTAGTAGAAGGGGTTTCCTGACACCTGCTCACAGGTGTCAGGGCTGTTCCTGCTCACTTCTATCAATGCAACTCCATCTTCTCTATGTCCGTCTCTCTTTTTCCACTTCCATCCAGAGTCAGGCACCTACCTGGGTTTTGGAGTACACAGAACCCGAGATGTCTGGCACGCCCGTGTTACTGGAGGTGACTGAGACACCTGGGGGAGGAGGAAACAGAGGAGGGTTAGCTCAGCTAGCTGCCTGATCCCTCCCCCTGGGAGGTGGTGAGTGACATGTGAAGTCTTTCTAGCTAGAGCACGGCAAGGGAATGTTGGTCTGTTTTTCCAACTTCAGGTCAGTCTTGAGGGATGAGAGCTCATGACACAAAGGCTAGCGAAGGGTTTTCTTGTCCTTCCCAGGTGTGTGCTGAGTTTATTGTGAGAGTGAGGTGAGTGGGTTTTGGGGGGACAAGGGGAAATAGCCAAACTCACTAGTACATAGTTTTCAAAACACCTCGGTAGCAAAGCCCAACAGGAATGTATTACACTTATGATGTCCATTTCAAGTCAATCCACCCTAAATGCACTCAGTCCTGCTCAGGAAGACAGGTACTCTGGCTCTTTTCCTGTTCATGAAGAGACATTCCTGGGCTCAAAATCCATGCTTTCACAGCATAAGGTAAATACTAGAGAAGCAGTTCAATTCCACCTCTGCGGGTACTTTTATTCTCAGCTTCAGCTCACTTAGTCCAGCTTCTCCAATCTTGGAGCTTCCAGGCTGTATACTTACGAGCTGGCGTAAAGATGAAGATCCATCTGCGCATTTTAAGGGAAGGGGAATGAGGAAGGCCTATAGGAATAGGCTATCTCCCGCAGTCTCGGTGGAATACAAAACCTAAATGTTACTCTAGTTTACAACTTTAGCTTCTCCATGAGATAAAGGCTTCAGTCCATACTCTAACAACTCACATGTTTCCTTTTGAAAAACGCTACCACCACTACAACTTAAAGGAAATCAAAGTAATACAAGTCCTCATTTTAATTTATACTCCTTCAACTGAAATACACATAGTCTATCTCCTGGGGCAAAAGGTCAAGGATATAGGAAAAAAGCCATCAGGTAAGCTAATCCAGCATCTTATCTTACTAAAATTGTATGCAAAGATTTGAGGTCAAGTAACTCGAATTTAACTAGGAATTTAAAGCATGATTTTAAAAGATATATTAGTTCTCATGAATTGAGATAAAATGATACTTCAGAAAAACTTTGTATTTTAGTCTATGTCCTTGGAGCCTTCTCCTTTGCTGTTAGGATTACTTTGACAGAAGAGTTTTTTAAAAACACTATACTGAAGTGACCAAGTCACAAATGAAGAATCCTCCATTTGCCCGCAATTCAGCAGCAATCCCCCTTCAAACTCCAGAACCCAAATCCTCCCAATGTCTAGGACAAAGGCAGCCATCAAAAGTTAAGCCCACCTTAGACAGCCACTTTAGAATCTTCCCAATAGAAGTGGCATCTTAACCTGGAAACCCCTCCCACATCACAAGTCCAGATAGTTCCAGGGAGGAGCAAACACCAACTAGGAAAAAGAACAGAACTACAGAAAGCAAGCATGAGAAAATACTTCCCCGTGTCCAAAGTATCAACTCCATGCTTTCTAGGCATTAAAGTGAAAGACAGGGACAATATATGACCTGATTATTTTTCCCCTTCCCTTTCTTCAAATCCCAGGAGCCCATCTGGTAAATCACTGGTAGTAGGCCTAACTTGAAAAAACAAGCTTATTTTTTGTCTGAAAAAGGCTATGTTGATGAGGTTTATATGGAAGGTTTGAGTAAAGTGGAATAGACAGGATATAAATAGAACATTTCTTTAGGAAAACGAGATAATGATTGAATTTTACTGCAAAGACTCAAACAGCTGGCTGAGACCCCTTGGTGATCCCACACAAATGGAAGAAATGGCTAACTTGACTCTCAAACTGGGTGGTAAGGAGCAATTTCGTTTCAATGTGTCCCTACTTGGTCTCACTCTTTTCAGAGGCTGGACTAGCTAAAAACCAGCTTATAGTCCAGAGGCTTTAAGTTGGATATTGGATAAAGAGACTGGAAATACAGGGGGGAAAAGAGATTTCTCCTTGCAGTTGCCATAATAGCCTGTGTAAGCATTAGAGGTCCCTACCTACCCTTTACCAATTATTAGAAAGCTCCTCAGGCTCGAGATCTCTTGTTTTCCTTCCAAGAGTCAAAATCCCCTTCTATAACCGACTTCCAAACATGATGATCATACTAACACCATGTGGACAACAGGGAGGAGAACCCAGAACCAAGAACCACTCTCTCCCTTGGAAAGTTGGTTACACCCCCAGGACAAAATTACTCCAGCGGGCTAGGAACAAAGGAAGTAATATGGGGGTTTCCAATTAACCAAGAATGGTGGTCTCACTGTGCAAGTTAACTGTAAACAAAGGGCTGGTGGTGTACTAGTTGGATTGAATGGGGATTAGAATTTCTATAGTCAAGGATGTCTAACCAAACCTCTCCCACACATCAGTAGCTACACCCACAAGTGCAAAACACTAATATTCCACAATCCCTGAAGGGACTAAGAACAATGCTCCAGGCTAGCACAGTTTCCACAGCCTGAGTCATCAACTGGCTGGTCCCTCAAAACTCTTATCAGATCTCAACCAGCCACTTGGCCTGAGGGAACCAAATGTGGAAATTAAGCCTTGAAGATACCTCTCCAACAACAGCTCTGAACACCATCCCTTCTACCTTTCACTATGACATGACACTAAACCTTTTTTCCTCCCCACGCCCCCGCTGCTAATGTCAGAGGCAAGGGGAAGATCTAAATGGAAAGTGAAGAGCTATAATAAGCATGGAGAATCAGGGATTTTCTACAAATAACGGTCTTTACCAACCAATCCACAGGTTGGAAACTGAGACTGTTTGCCCTCCCCCACCTTCATAAAAATCATCATACTGAAAAGTTACCAGTTCTTTGGCTATGCTGGAGTTTGATTGAAAAGGCCACCCTCCACCCTTCATCCACTGCTCAACATTGGATCCTAGTGTCCAGAAAGACACGCACGGAAAGAACGCCAGAGTTAGCTAAAGAAATACCACAGTTTATTGAAGACTACAAATATTTTTTGTTACAAGTTGAAACTACATGCCTTCCAGAAAACAAAAGCAACAGCAGGTGTGTGCATTGATGCTTCGGAGGTGCTGCACCGCTTGAACTCGAAATGGGTAAGACAGGGTCAGACACATGGGGGAGAGGGAACTGGGGGAAGGGCAAGTTCAAAAGCCCAGAAGGTATCCAACTCATTTCCCCAAGCCACGCAGGCCATGGCCTCAGATCAGCAGGCTCTCCTCAGTGGTCTGGTTTCTGAAACAAGACTTCAGTGCAAATTTATACACACACACAAAACAGAGCCCCCAGCCTTGGGCCAAATTAGCTCTCTGCCGTCCAGAAATGCTTGTAAGGGGGTGGATATTTTCTTCCTAAAAGGAATCAAATACATAAAAATAAATGAATTTAGAGGTTGATGAGGAATGGGATGACAACCTTCTGTGGGGCTGGGAACTGGGGGTTCTCAAAAGGGCTGTTAGAGAGTTTCTGAAATCCTAAGGGAGGTAAGAAGCTCCGATTTCCAGAACCAGGTTTGCTATTCCTGAACCTGGTCCAGCTAAAACTTAAATCTAATCTTAGAATGGGGCCATTCCAAATCAAAGAGCTTATAATACTCCCCCAAGGATTAGGGTGGATCGTGCTCAGTGAGAGGAACAGCCACCAGGGGTCCTAGATATTAAATCTCAATGGGTGCCTCAGGATTTCTTGTTTAAATCTTGACCTAAGTCATACAACACAGTTCAAAACTCCACCTGGCTGTTAGTTCCCAGACCAACTGCCATCTGTGCTCAGCTCAGAGTTTCCCAATTATTAAAACCTTGGGCAATTTATCAACTTGGAGGCCACACAAGGGTGAAGAATGCAGGTGCAGCTCCATCCAAATCATCATGAAACCATAACTGAGCAGAGATTTTTGAAGTACAACCCTTAAACCCATCTTCCTCCCCCCACCCATATTCATCTACAAATCAATAAAAAAGTGGATGGAATTGTTTTATTCAAAGACTCCTTTTCTTACTCCCTGTCCTCCAAAAGTGGAGTATATGTTGCCAGGTACAGGAACAAGGAAGGGATGGACTAAGAATCTTTTGGTCAGTACCCATTCAGGAGATTCCAACATTTCCCTCTCTGCCATCAGATGTGCAAATGGATTTTGCAAAGAGCCCAGCCATACAAGTGAAGGAACCTAAAGGTCCAATTCTCACTTTATTGAGTACAGGCATACTTCGTTTTATTGCACCTCACAAGTGTTGCATTTTTTTGGAAAGAGAAGGCAAGACCATCCACCATCAAAGACTACAACTTACTTTATTATGGTGGTTTGGAAAAGAATCCACATTATCTCCAAGGTATGCCTATACTCATATCCTAATTCTTTCTCTCCACATTTTAGGTCTCCTAGCTTGGGATTTAAAAGGGACCACATAAAAAAAAAAAGTAGTACTGCAAAGATATATATGCTCAGTCTACTACAGCACACTAGCAAAGAAACCATTTAACCCTTCTATTCGGTAAATATGACCCTTTTGTATGACTGGTACCATACATATTAACACTTGCCTCCATTAACATCTCAATGAAATCTTGGGGCCTCTTGCCTTGCTTCCCACCCAAATATTAGGCCAGCCAGCATATGCCAATAGCCAATACATGATCCAGGCCATCCCCGTCATCAGTGAATATATGGTCTAGTATCAAGCTCCTCTTTTGGGGCTGCTCAGGCAGACACACAAGCAGTCAATCATTAACAATCATACATGAGCAGCAGCACACCCTCACCAACAGAACCTTATTTTATCAAGCACAGTCTTCCTCCTTGGAACTGATTTAATAACATCCCACAGACACCACTGACAGCTGGGGTCAAGGTAAGCTTACCAGTGTTGTATCCATGAGACCCATATCCACTTGGCTGTTGGAAAGGGGTGGCCGATGCATTCACACTGACATTCACACCATGCTGCTTGGAAGAGGTAGGAGCCACCTAAAGAGTAAAAAGGCCAGAACTGCCGTGAAATGGCAGCAGAGTACCATTCACCCTACCGGTCTTCGTTCAGGGACTGAAGCATTCAGATGATTACCCACTGTGATATAGGCTGACTACAGTTCACTTAGTGAATGAAACAGGCTCCCTGCCAACTTTCTAAAATCCGTCAAGTCAAGAAATGGTACTTTGAAAGAAGGGAAAAGGGCAGTGATAGCAGGGAATGAAGACAGTCTGGGAGTAAAACTATATGCTATCATATTCCTACTTTAGCTAATTCTAATAACAGGTAATCCTTATCCCAATACCCCCAATTCCAGCCCCACTCCCTCCCCCAGGCCAGAAAGAGAAACTGTTCCGCTTTATCCATTATTAAAGTCCTTGAAAGCACCTAGGGTAGTCTAGGATTAGGATACTTTACCACAAGGAAAGACCAAGCCCAGGTACTCACAGGGAACACAGCAGGCCCATACTGGAAGGTGCTGGGGAGGCCCGGAACCCCTGTGTAGTATGGCAGGCTGGTGTAACTGTAGCCAGGAGGCAGCGCCGGGTTCAGGAATGTCTGCTGCGTGGTGTGGTGAGTCTGCGTCTGGTTCTGTTGGGGTTGGGCCAAGGTAGTGGCCGGGGCTGGGGAGGAGGCATCCCCACGGCCAAACTTTGTGAGGTCACCTGTGACAGGAGAGGCTAAATGTACCTGCCTCTGTCAGCCCCCACACCAATGCAGAATTACTACTCTGGTTTCCCATGATTCCAGAAAATCCTGTTAAATTTGAATTACATTTCTTTGCAGCGCCATTTAGCACTGCCCAGCACACAGCAAGCACAGTGCTGTCAAGGACTAATGTCGAATGACTGTGCAATGCTGTAGCAGAGACAGGCTCCCAGAATAAAGTTCCTGCATGATTTCCCTGCCTACTCGTCCTACTTCATCTCCCCCAACTCTCCCTCCATGGGAACACTCCATGCTAGATTCAAAAAAACAATGATAGGTCAAGAAAATGGTAGATCAGTGAAGGCCCATGGACAATCAAGGTAATGGCAATGAGACTGCCACTGTGAGTAGGGTACAGGAGCAGAGATGAGCAGAGGATGGCCAGTTCAACCAATGCGTTTCCTGGAGAATGTCTGAAAACCATGTCAAAATATCCTCTGGAATCACAGGGAGACAACAAAAAGATAAGGAAAAATTTGCCACCTGCCCATCTTTAGCAGGATTCTGAATCTACCAATACTGATTCATCACATCCATTCTACATTTCTGCCAAAGATCTTAACTGAACTGGGTCCCTTCCTGCTACTCATCAGGTTTCTGCCACCAATCTCAACACAATCTCCCTTTATTTAGCCCTATCCCAGTCCTACCAGAATAAGGGTTGCTGGACAGGCTACCATCCCTCCCAGTCAGCGGCGTGGTGGGTGCAGGAAATGGGATGCTGTAGTAATCCTAGAAGAGAGAATAAAAGAGCAGAGATTCAATGCCACCATTCTCTCTGCTGAGAGGCAGGAAAATGTTGAAGTAATGCAACTTATCCAGCCACCGAGTAGGCTGGCTAGAACTAACACTAACTCCAAATTACTCTTGCATACACTGTCCCCCCTGCTTGGCCATGAGCACAGTCAAGCAAGGTCTACGGGTATGCCCAGTGTAAAACACACCAAGTCCACCAGGACCAGTAATATTCTCAAACCTGTAGATAATTAACCCCAATCGTCTACGTCTACTGAGAAAATAGATCTTTCTAGAATTCAAAGTGTCTGAAACATACAGAAAGCATCTTGAGAGTTCCAGGTACCCTGCGTTATAGAATGCTAAAATTTGTTTACTTCAAAGATGCCACAACTCTGATTTTTCTTTTAAGTTATCTTCTATTAGAGCCACTCCCCAAGACACCATACTCTGATATCTCTTAAAGTGTGTGTATGAAGTAATGGCTGGGAAAGAGCTATGACTTACCAACTAAACATGTGAAAATAATCCCCCCAACACTAATTTTAAGATTGCTTTCTTTTCCCAAGCCCTACACCACATACTCACCAATGGAAATCTTGTCTGAAGCATCTGCAAGTCGTCATAACCATATACTTGTGGCTGAAAGATACAAGCATATAAGAATACTAATGTGGACTGGTCATGATGCTAGCAAACCAAGGAGCTAGGAAACAAGGTAAATCAACAGAACGTTCATCCTCATTTTTAGGGAAGAACAGGAGACAGATTGTTTCCTTTAAGAGGAAAGAAGTAAATACAGAGATTAAGTGATTCATGAAAGGTATTGAAACTTTCCTTGAGTTACATACTAGTGATTCACCTAGACTGGTGTCTTACACAAGTCATACATGAATAGCCTGCTCTTACTTTCTGTTCAACCAGCCTGTCTCTTACAGTTTTCAAAACATGGTTTAGCCCTGGGCTGGTGTGGGTGTCGTCCCATCCACCAGGAGGTTGATAATTTGATTCCTGACCAGACTGCAGGCTTGATCCCTATGAGGCAGCCAAGCCGAACGATGTTTCGCTCTCACATTGATGTTTTTCTCTCCCTCCCCTCCTCTCTTTCCAAAACCAATTTAAAAGGATTTTTAAAATTTAAATAAAAGTTTTTACAGTACTACAGATGTCACCTATTTCCACCCTCAACCCCGTTTGCAAAAAGCTACTACTGTCAGCCACCCATTTTCAGGTAGGCCCAATGGAGTTGGGAACGTTGGTCTGACCAAAGTTCCAGCAAAGACCCTCAGAGATAGGGAATCAATTCAACAAGAGAAAATAATTCTCTAAGAAATTAAAAGGGGTATCAGGTGGACATTCTGGCCTTTGGCTTCTGAAATCGAGAATATGTACTTCACAGAGAAAATATACAACAGAGGGCCTGGCCTCCACTTAGTCGTTCCTCTCTAAAAACTGTTATTTTTCTCTCTCAAAACTACAAAGATTAAAGCCTTGCTTTCATGCAACCACTCATCTATCCTATATTTTAATTATAGTCTTCCACCTGAAGCCAGATTTATAAAGAGTAGCCACACTATCTTCATCTTTTGGAGAAGACCCCAAAGTCTCACTTACCGGGTAGGCATGTAACAGCCCTGGAGCCATAATATACGGATTAGGCAACAATGGCGGGACCCCAGGAGGGAGATTAGGAGGAGCTTTTCCTAAAAAAGAAATTATATTTTTATGCTGTCACACAATTATTTCTCTCCTTCATCCCAAAGGAATGCCATCCACCTTTTCCATGCAGGGCTACCTGAAGTTGTAGCAACTGAGCTTCGAGTCGAGGCTGTGACAGTGGAGTTGCTGCCTATGTTGAGGCCCAGGCTGCTGCCGCTATTGAGACTGGAGGAGACACTGACCACTGGCGGAGGTGCAGAGACTGTGCTGGACGCGGTGGAGAAAGTGCTGGAGGAAGAATGAAGATTCGCCTCACTCTCCACGCTTGTGTGCTTCAAAGAGAGAGCGGTGGGAGAGAGGAGGAGGAAACAGCAATTAGCCTAACCGGTCAGGAAAGATCAACAATCCCTGCTGTTGATTATATCATCACTCAACTTCCCAATTAAAAAGGCTGAGGAAAGGTACCAGAGTGTCCTCTGCCAAATTAGAAGAAATTACTAAATACTTTACCGGTAGACATTCCCTAAGAGTCATCTGATAAGAATGGTAACAAAAGGCCCACTGCACACCATTACACTGTTCAGAAACAGCAGCAGAGAGAGTAGGGACAAACCAAACTCCCCCCAAACTAACACTGGTTGGCCAATAACAAGACAAAGATAGTTTAAATGTGAAAAATATATCATAGCCTTTTCTCCTACACTCTTCATTAGTTCAGCACAAGACCAGTCGTGGGACAGGAAAAAGTCCTAATAAACTTAAACATGAAATTGTGTATTTGAGAAACAACAGACTCCTAGAAAGCCTTAGCCCCCATTATCTTCCCCTAGGCTTCTGGCAAACCAGACACCTTAGCCCAGCCGTGGGCAAACTACGGCCCGCTTGAAATGAATAAAACTAAAAAAAAAAAAAAAAAGACTGTACTCTTTTATGTAATGATGTTTACTTTGAATTTATATTAGTTCACACAAACACTCCATCCATGCTTTTGATCCGCCCTCCGGTCCAGTTTAAGAACCCATTGTGGCCCTCGAGTCAAAAAGTTTGCCCACCCCTGCCTTAGCCCCAAATGTTAGTTGTCTTCCTTACCATTTCAGAGTAATTAAATAGTTGCTATAAATCACAACAGTGAAATTAATTCTTTGACCAAAAGCTCTTATCTCATCTCTGCTTTCACAGGATGCTCAGATTCATACTGATTATTTTCAGGACTCATGTTCAGCATATCTCAGACCATGAATAAAAATGGCTGTATCAGTTAGAAAAGATATTCTTACAGAAGTTCTTGTAGCGTACAAAAGCCCCACCCAGCTTCAGTTAAAAAAAAAAAAAAGTCACACAATGATTCAGGAAAAGTCACTTCCAGGGCTTTGAGAATTGGCCCACAGCTTTGCAATACTTCTGGATTTTTTTTTTGCCTCTCTTGACTTCAAATATCCTTTTATTCCTTTCTTACAAGATCAATGATCATTTTGCCACCTCAGAATCCCTTAGGAGAATCTTATGGTTGGATAGTTATAAGTATAAAAAACCCACAATTCTTTTATAGCAACATACTTACCAAAAGAGTGGATGTTGAAGTACGCCCAGAAGATGTTGATGACGAAAGGGTATTCTGCTGAGTAGATAACGTACTGTAACAAAAAAAGAGGTTGCCGTAAGACACAGTGCTATAGTCACCTGACCTAAAGCTTGAATTAAGAATACAGCAAGAGCTTGGCCAGTTTGCTCAGTGGTTGAGCATCCATGAACGAAGAGGTCACAGGTTCACTTCCTGGTCAGGGCACTTGCTCGGGCTCAATCCCCAGTAGGGGGCATGCAGGAGGCAACCAGTCGATGGTTCTTTCTCATTGATGTTTCTATTTCTCTATCCCTCTCCCTTCCTCTCTTCCTAAACATCAATAAAAACATATTAAAAAAGAAGAAGAAGAATACAGCAAGAAAATAAGACAGAATATAGGACCAAGGAAATCTGAGATAATACAGTCAGCAAAATAGCCAGCCAGGGCTAGTGAGCAAAGGTAGAATGGATGTTGAAAAGGGAAAATAATCCTCCTCTGTCTTTACTTCCCACTGCTTTTAGGGAATCTACTTAGCTAATGTGACCTGTGCCAGGTAGTGGATTAATAAGATAAAACCAAAGAGCTCTCACCAACTGCTACTTTACCAACTCTAACCTCCAATCCTCACCCCAAGTCACCTGTTGTGTTGGGTGGTGGTAGTATTTGGAATCTCCTCACTGTGGTTCAAGCCACCCAAAGTGGACGAGTGCTGATTGGTTGTCGTCAATAAGGAAGCTGCAGATACCGTTTCACTGAGAGGGGGGATACTAGAAGTAGAAGGTGAGTCAGATTTCACTGCAGAGCCTGTAGCACCTGGAAATGAAGAAAGGACGTCACCTCATTAGAGGAAGGAGAATGCTTATTGGTGTGGCTCAGTTGGCTGAGCATATCTCATGCACCAAAAAGGTTACTGGTTAGAGTCCCATCAGGGCACACACCCAGGGTGTGGGCCCCATCCCTAGTAGGGGGCATGGAGGAGGCAGCCGACGTATGCTTCTCTCTCTCTCCCTTCCTCTCTCTAAAATAAATAAAAACATATTTAAAAGAAAAAAACTTTTAAAAAGAAGTGAGAGATGACTAAAGTCCTAGGCTGGCTATCCCAAAGATAAGCCCTGACCGGTTTGGCTCGGTGGATGGAGTGTCGGCCTTCGGACTGGAGGGTCCCGGGTTCGGTTCCAGTCGGGGGCTTGTGCCTTGGATGTGGGCACGTCCCCGGTACGGGGTGTGCAGGATGCAGCTGATCGATGTTTCTCTCATCGATGTTTTTGACTCTCTATCTCTCTCCCTTCCTGTCTGTGAAAAATCAATAAAATATATTAAAAAAAAAAAGATAAGAGTGTGAGTTATTTAATAATGGGTCATTTATGTTTAGGTAGAATCCTTTTCTGTTTTTCAATTGCAAGCATTTCACAGCACTGATCTCCTTTACCCAGTGAAGGGAACCAAGGGGATTATCACCATTTTAAGACAGAAAACCTAAAAGTTAGGATGGTTTGAGATTAAACAACAAGACAGAACCAAGCTAAGACTAACCAGATGTTCTGATCATTGAGCCGGGGCTATTTTCACTACAATCTAGGAAATGTAAAAATAATGAAAGGACAGGAAAAACACTACACACCCTAGCTGGTTTGGCTCAAGTGGACAGAACGTAGGCCCTCAGGCTGAAGGGTGCCGGGTTGGATTCTGGTCCGGCGCATGTGGGAGGCAACCAATCAATTTTTCTTTTTCTTTTTTTTTAAAATATATTTTATTGATTTTTTACAGAGAGGAAGGGAGAGAGATAGAGAGTTAGAAACATCGATGAGAGAGAAACATTGATCAGCTACCTCCTGCACATCTCCCACTGGGGATGTGCCCGCAACCCAGGTACATGCCCTTGACCGGAATCGAACCTGGGACCTTTCAGTCCGCAAGCCGACGCTCTATCCACTGAGCCAAACCGGTTTCGGCCAATTTTTCTTTTTCTCTGTCTCTCCCCCTCCCTTCCATTCTCTCAAAAAATCAATGGAAAAATATCCTTTGGTGAAGATTAACGAAAAAAGAAAAAGAACAATACTACAACTAGGAGGAAAAAAACCTGGAGAACACTCACCTTCAACAGATTGCGTGGTCTGTAACTGCGTGGCCTGCACAGAACTGAAGCCATTCTGATATGAAAAACAGGAAATAAATTCAAGTCAACAGATTAAATTAGCACTGACTGACACAGCTTAATTTCCAGCAAAATTCTATAAATTAACATAATCTAGATTATCCAAACAAAATAAAAACAAAAATTAACAACAAAACAAAGATGCCCTAGGCCAGTCGTCGGCAAACTGCGGCTCGTGAGCCACATGCGGCTTTTTGGCCCCTTGAGTGTGGCTCTTCCACAACATACCGGCTCTTCCATAAAATACCGACTTCTGCGCATGGGCCACAAAGTTTCAATCACACTGTACATGCGCGCCCACATGTGGTATTTTGTGGAAGAACCACACTCAAGGGGCCAAAGAGCCGTGGTTTGCTGACCACGGTGCCTAGGCAGTTTGGCTCCGTGGATAGAGCGTTGGCCTGCAAACTGAAGGGTCCCAGGTTCGATTCCAATCAAGGGCACATGCCTGGGTTTCGGGCTCTATTCCAGCAGGGGGCATGCAGGGGGCAGCCGATCAATTATTCTCTCTCATCATTGATGTTTCTGTCTCTCTCCCAATCCCTTCCTCTCTAAAATCAGTAAAAATGTATTAAAACAACAACAAAAAAATAAACAAGCAAAGGAAAACAAAAACAAAGAGAAATAAACCCTGTGTGACCCATAGCAACAGAAAGCAACCCCCAGATTGCTGAATAGATCCCAAATCCAAATAGATGCAGGGTAAAGCCCAAATCCAGTGATCCCTGGGGGGGGGGGGAGAATGAGGGAGTAAGGTAGTTCAGCCAAGTCACTTATTTTTCTGGCTGCATCGGACAGTCCCTCCACATCACCGCTGGCATACGCTATCCCCCTCACCAAGCCAAGACATGGCCAGGTGAGGTCTCCTGCTATGCACCCAGCATGCTGGCCATCAGCTCTTCCAGCCAGCCATCCAGAATACAGGCACTGAGACAGATTCTACTAGAAAGAATGACTCCCGAGTGCAGGGAGAATAGTTTTCTGGTTCTGAGTCTCCAGGCTTGCTAAAAACAACTTTTTAGTTCATCAACCACAGAAATGTACTTTTATTAGCTTCTCAATCAGCACTTCTGAGGTGTCTTAGCACTATTTGTCAAGAAACAAAACGCTAATATTAACAGGCCCCTGCCCACTATTCTTTTAATCAATGCCCAGGGGCTCATGAAGACTCTACCTTTGCCTGAGTCAGGTCCTTTTGGGGTGATGAAGAGATGGAGCTGGGGTACCGCCGAGTCTGCGTGGATCTCTGTTCATACAGAGGGCCCTGAGCGTTGTTTTGGGAGGTATAGGTTGTTGGCTGAATTGGGCCACTCTGATAACCGGACTCCTGACTCTGATTAGATGAAATTGTAGATGAAGATTCACTGTGGGTAATAAAGAAGGAATCTATCAGAGAAATTAAATAAAGCAGATTGATTGATACTAAGGAAACAGTGGAGATTGACTACTAAAGTTGACTTCAATCAAAAAGAAAATTTCCAGCAACAAATAAACCACCACCATTTTCTCCTGACAACTGAATGCATTTACATATCCTACAGAGCTAAGTATTTGAATTAAGAATGGAGTGTAAAACATTTCTTGTCCCCCCTATATTCTGCTGTTATGAGAAAAAGAGGCTAAAGGTCAGTAGAAAGGATACACTACTCTTGGTCCCTTCATCATAGCATGAACGCTAGCATGAGAGCGTTATCATTTGCTCATATGCATTTTAAGTAATTCTGAGCCCTTGGCTCTTTCAAAAACCCCATTAAATATAAGGTTACTGGTAGAACTTTCTGAAAGAAACTTTTGAAATATTCTCGTGCATTAATGACGTATGATTCAATGTATCTAGGCTAGAGCCAAACATCTATTTTTTTTTTTTTAATTCTAAGGATTGAGAAAAGCAGCTCAGTCCCCTAAAATTCCTCCGGGATTTTCTATTGCTTAAGATGGCCCTCCCTGAAGTATCAGAGGAGGTAGGAAAGTTTCTATTGGAAAGGTTCCTTTTAATCTGTATATCAATGCTACCTCCTTCTTAGGGGTTCAAAGTTATACTCTTCATAGGCCTAAGTCCCACACCAAAGGGCTAAAAGTGTGAAAAGCATTTTTAGCTGTGGCAGATGCCAAGGTACTTTCCATAGAGGCCCGGTACACATCTGTAAGAACTGTGTCTGACCATTCTAGAAGTATTCAAAGCGTATGTTTCCCTCTGTTTAGAGTTACAGGTGATCCTAGTAATGATATTTTAAAGTGCTACTCTTTAAAAGTGGCTATTTTCTCACTCAGTCCGAGTCTTGTCATCCCCAGAGTTCGAACAATCAGCAAGAGACTTAGAAAACGTGGTTAAAAACCAAATAAAACAAGCCTCATGACTGGCGTTTCCTCTACCTGGCCGTGCTGGTATAGAGGCTGTTTGGAGCCTGGCTTGACGAGGCGCTCGTGGTTGGAGTGGACTCATAATCAGAAAGGACAGGCTCTGACCCAAACTGCAATGCCCCAAACTGTAGGTTTAGCCCTGAGATATCTGCTGAGCCAGGCATCTCCACAGCCAGAGCAGGAATCTGTAGAGAAGAGAAAATAATGGCTTATTGTAACCTTACTTTAAGACTAATAAAAAAAACTCGTGCTTCAATTTCCCAAACTATACTCTTACAATCTCAACTCCCAAGTCATACACCCTCTTGCCCTAGGGCAGTGGTTCCCAACCTTCCTAATGCTTCGACCCTTTAACACAGTTCCTCATGTTGTGGTGACCCCCAACCATAAAATTATTTTCGTTGCTACTTCATAACTGTAATTTTGCTACTGTTATGAATCGTCATGTAAATACCTGATATGCAGGATGTATTTTCATTGTTACAAATTGAACATAATTAAAGCCTAGTGATTAATCACAAGAACAATATGTAATTATATATGTGTTTTCCAATGGTCTTAGGTGACCCCTGTGAAAGGGTTGTTCGACCCCCAAAGGAGTCACACCCCACAGGTTGAGAACCGCTGCCCTAGGGTAATATATATCTAAAAGTTCAAGTACCTTAGAAGTCAAGGAGGCTTTTTTCTTCTGCTGTTTCAGTTTTTGCTGAGCCGGCTGAGGGCTGGAGGATTGGTTGTCTGAAGACCCAGGAGACATTTGTGGAGCCGAGGTGGATTTGCTTGGCAGAGGAGAAGAGGGGGGTGGAGGTGCAGCTGTGGAGGTAGCCACTGCGGGTGGCTTCTCCTGAAGGAACACCTCCATCATGGTTGAAGATGGGGTAAAAGCCTGGCGCTTTGTAAAGGGGCTGTGCACTGTTGAATCATTTGGGTTCTTCAAATCTGCATGAGTAAACCCAGTATGTATAAGGCCAGAGATACTGGTGAACCTCAAGAAAATGCTATTATCCTGCTCTAGAGCCAGGAACCAGGCCTTCAAGATCAGAAACTCATATAAACAGGTCCTCTTTTAAGGCATTATCTCATGTCTGTAGGTAACAATCACTGGATCATATTTGTTCTGATGTAGAGCCTAGGGACCTAATTGAATCAACACTATTCAATTCCTGTAAGACAGGAATCTAGGAACTGTCCGTGTTTAGAGTAGAAAGTCATAAAATGGACAAGTCCATGAACCTTTCCAAAGGGACTATGCTGTTTTCTAACACTAAAGGTAAATCAAGGGAATTCCAAAAAATCCCCAGGTCAACACAAGACTACAAATATGTATAAAGCTAAATTTAATGAAAGAATTTATAGCCTTTTATTATAGACTTTTTATTATTCCCCAGCTTTCTGAAGTCAGCCCAGCTCACTAGGGGAAATCAGTGTGGGAAACTAGTCAGTTGGCAGCCCTTTTCCTCACTTCAGGACATTCTCCACCCCCTACTCCTGCCAGCCGCTTGACAGTAATGCTCCAATGCTTAAAGAATTCAATCCACTTTCCATTTTTCTCACCATACTGCACCAGCGATGGGGACTGTGTGGTGGAGCCCATGTCCCAAGAGGAGGTGGTGGTGGTTCCAGATTGAGAATGCTGAGCTGCCAACTGAGCCAGGGCCTGAGCAGTCTTGAATTGCTCCAAGAACTGGGAGCCTGTGGTGCTGCCACTTTTAGTTTCACTGACATCACCAAATCCTTTCCCTAACATGCTCACCTGTAAATCAACACAGAGATTAGAGAAATAGGCAACAACCTTGTTCAGCTACTCAGAAAGACACTTATCCAGGGTGAGAGCCAGTATAAATGGGACAGGTAAAGATTGTCACCACACTGAGTACACAGCATAGTCCATTAGAACACAAGCTCTGGACTATCTAGATTCAAATCCCAGTTATGTAACCATGGAAAAGTAATTTTTCTGCACCTCATTTTCCTCATCTGAAAATAGAAATAAAAGTAGTTCCTCATTAAGCTGTAGAAGGATTAAACAAATAATGTATGTACAGCATTTAATGTGTGCATAGAACACAGTAAATACTCAATAGAAATGAGAGCTATTAAAATTTATACTTTTATCAGCACTTCCTCCTCCTCCTCCCTCCATTTCAGGGATAAAGCTCTAATGATTAGAAAGTATTTTCCCCCTTTTAAAGTTTAAAAGTTTCCTTGCCCTTCCCACTACACAGCTCAAAAGGAACAAAAACAGTCCAGCCAGAGTGGTTCCGTTGGTTGAGCAATATCCTGTGCGCCGAAGGATTGCCAATTTGATTCCAGGTCAGGGTACATACCTGGGTTGCAGGTTCGATCCCGAGTCGGGAATGTACGGAAGGCAACCAATCGTTGATGTTTCTCTCTCACATCACTGTTTGTTCCTCGCCCCCTGGCCCAATTCTTCTAAGTAGTCCTCAGGTGAGGATTTAAAAAAAGGAACAAAACAACTAATTAGACTCTCATCTCAGTGCTGCTAATAGCTAGCATCGAAGCAAAGGCAATTTTAGGGGCAATCCTACGTTCAGCACTAGACAATCAAATGAGTCAATATGATTTGACTGTTTTCTGTGTATCCAAGTACGAGGTAATCATGACAACAAAACAAAATTTACTCGTATGCTTTTGGGAGATTCTCCCCATTGCCTGCTACACCAAGTAAAACTATCAGCCTGGTCCAGGATATGAACCATGTGACCTTAACTATTCCAGGAATCCTCCAAGGAGATTTAATCTCATTTTCCTTAAATTCTTATTTAACCATATCATCATCATCATCATGATTGAGCAACGCTTTCTTATACAGAACCAGTCTGTCCAACTCAAGGTAAGACATTTTCCCCACTTCAGTCAATTATACAAACAAAAAAATCAGAAGTCTTGCCCTAACCAGTTTGGCTCAGTGGATAGAGCATCGGCCTGCGGACTGAAGGATCCCAGGTTGGATTCCGGTCAAGGGCATGTACCTTCCTTGTGGGCACATCCCCAGTAGGGGGTGTGCAGGAGGCAGCTGATGGATGTTTCTCTCTCATCAATGTTTCTAACTCTCTATTCCTCTCCCTTCCTCTCTGTAAAAAAATGAGTAAAATATATTTTTAAAAAAATCAGAAGTCTAGTTCAAAGTATGGGATTGTGGCAGAGATGATCTCACACAGCAATGATTACCAAATATTCTACAAGTGCAAAACATATTAAAGACAGAAAATTACGAATCTCCACATATTGTACATGGTAATTAATAGGGGCTTCTGTATTATTCACATCTTAAATATTAAGGGAAATCAAAACTGTTTATTGTCAATGGAAAAGAAACATTAAATAGCCCAGTGATTAATAGAGGTGATGAGAAAAAAACCCAGAATAATATTTATGTTTAGTTTAACATATCACATGACACATTAAATAAAATGTTAGGATTAGTGAAAATGTTGAAAACATTAAAAAGGCAATTTAAGAGATACAGAGCACTTAACATTTTCCAATCCTATCTTTTAGAGGTTGGTAGTTATTTCCTGATCTCTGTTTCACCTTCTTACAACTTTGTCCTATTTTCTTGCTCTCTTCTTTATCTTTTTAATCTCATATTCCTTTCCCTTTTACCTCTCTCCTACCTTTTCTCACCTGTTACCTTTCATCTATGGCAGAATATCAACCACCAAATTATTATTAGCACAAAAAAATAACTTTAAGACAACAGTTAAAAACTGACAGAATTCTGGATTAGAAGCTAGCTCAGCAATTTTCTAGATAAAATAATTATTATAACCCTACTACTGAAAAAATAAAACTATTATATATACACACTGTCTTTTACCTGTTTAATCCTATAGCATCCCTCCACCAAAAAATAAAGACAGGAGAAAAAGAAAAAGCAGTACTTAATATTTACTGACTAATAAGAAAATTGGTTCTTGCATCAAATGATTCCTTTGCCATAGTTAATGACCTTGAATATTTAAAATGTTCTGAATCAACAAGTCACGTGCCACAAGTGTTCTAGGTTATTAACAAATAAAACTTGCCACCATATTTGTACCTTATCCATTATCTTCCTAAAGCCCTAAAAGATAGGCAGAGCAAGCACTTAAAAACATTTTTTGGGAGAGGGACTGGTTGAGGGTGGGCAAAGTGGGGGGAAATGAGGACATCTATGATAGTCTCAACAATAAAAATAAAGTTTAAAAAATTTTTAATTAAGTGTACTGGGGTTATAGTGGTTAATAAAATTATATAGGTTTCACGTGTATAATTCCATAATACATCATCTACAGAGCAAGCACTCTTATTCCCACTTACAGAGATAGGGAGAAACAGCGAAAAGTGGGCAGATTCAGGAAAACACAAGTTTTTGGAAACCTAGTCCAGAAATGTCTGGTTTATATAAATATACATGGCAATTCTGCTCTACCAAGAAATAGGGGACTGCTACAACTCCCTATTGCAAAAGGATTACAATTTGTTGATACCATTGATTTTCTCTCTTCAAGAATAGCCAATTGCCGAAACCGGTTTGGCTCAGTGGATAGAGCGTCAGCCTGCGGGCTGAGGGGTCCCAGGTTCGATTCCGGTCAAGGGCATGTACCTTGGTTGCGGGCACATCCCTGGTGGGGAGTGTGTAGGAGGCAGCTGGTCGATGTTTCTCTCTCATCGATGTTTCTAACTCTCTATCTCTCTCCTTTCCTCTCTGTAAAAACTCAATAAAATATATTTAAAAAAAAAAGAATAGCCAATGATGTTCAGCACAGTCAGTATTAAATAAATTATCTTAACTCATTTTCATAAGGTTCAGTATGTCTGAGGCTAACTCCTCTCCTTAGAGCTACACCTAACTACCCAACTCAACATCTCTACACCAAGGGCTGCTTAAGAGGACAAAAGAAGATGCTTTACCCTGCCTCAAACTTCTGTCACTGAAGGAATGACTGTATGCCAGGGTAGGGTTTGGCAGGAAAGTTGGATTAAAATACACCATGTTTCCTACTTACCACACTGTGATGAGAAAATGTGTTCCCTGAAGCAGGCTGTGATATGGTATTCTGCTTCGAGTTACTGAACACCAGAGGCTGGGCAAGAGAAGGAGCCTGAGATGGATCCAGATTAGATGAATCATTCTCCATTGAAGATGGTGTCTTCCCCAACAGGACAGCAAGGTCAATTCTAGTGGAGACGAGAGAGGATCTTAATGAGAAAAGACTGAATATTCTAACATCCCCAACACCAGAATCAGATTATGGTTAGATTAACATGAAGTCACCCCCCAAAACAAAAACTCCTGACTGAAATGTTTAACTTACCAAAAGTAATTGATATACAAGAGCCACTATAGTACCTAGCTATGTTCTAATGATATTGCCAAGCATAATATTATTTAAATATATATATTTTCAGTGAAGTTAATTTAATGAAGTATCAAATGTTAGTTTTAATACAGCAGCTTGATAATTGGGCCAAAATTTACTAATTTTTTTAAAGTTAAATTTTAGAGTGAGAGGGAGAGGGGAAGAGCAAGAAACATCAATTGGCTGACTCCTGCACACACCCTGATTGGGGATGGACCCCCTATCCTGAGTATGTGACCTAACCAGGAATTGAACCAGCGACTTTTTGGTACATGGGACAATGCTCAACCAAGCCACACCGGCCAAGACAAAATTTACTAATTTTTACCCATGATTTTAAAATACAGAATACCTGCCATTACCAATATTTATATGTAGAACTAGATACTAGAATGCCCACATCTTCAAGTGGCTTTGGAACAAGAAAAATTGGGGGAATTTTCCCAACTTTTATAAATTTTCAAGTTATCTATGGCATAATAAAAATATGTTTGTGCTTTGGCCCCAGTTCTTGGCAGAGCTCCTAAAACCCTTAAAATTTCCTGTGTGATAGAGTGATCTTTTGAAAGGAGACCCTTTCAACCATGAGGTTAATCAAGGTGGAGCCTCCCTCAGAGCTTCAAAACAGGATCTGGTAACCAAACACAAATAATGTGATAGAGGGTTAGAACTTTCAGTCCTACTATACTCCACCCATTTAGGGAGGGAAGAGAGCTGTACATTACACTCAATCACAATGACTTCATCAATCATGCCTATGTAATGAAACTAACAAAAACTCTTGAACAATGACATACAGTGAGCTCTGGGTAGGTGAACACATCAATGTGCTGGGAGGGCAGCACAATCAGGGGAGGCTTGAAAGCTCTGTACCCCACTCCTCACACCTGGCCCTTTGCATGTCTTCCACTCGACTGTTTCTGAATACTGATTATAATAAACCAATAATGGCAAGAAAATCTCTTTCCTAAGTACTATGAGTCATTCTAGCAAATTGTTGAACCTGAGGAGGGAATACCCCCAAATATGTGGTCAGCATGGAAGAAATGTATGTAGTCTGGGTACCCATTTGTAGCTGACCTCTGAAGCAAGGGCTGTCTTGTGGGAGTAAGCCATTAACTAGGGTCTGTGCTAATTCTAGATAATGTCAGAATTGTTGAACACCTAATTGGTGTCTGAGAAATGAAGAATGGGTGCAGAAAAATCACAGATATTTGGTGTCAGAAAAAAATACGCATTACCACTAATAATGACACCCCTAACAGCCCATTCCTATCACACTTCTCTTCAGGATCTTCTGAGACAGCAGCTCTCATACTCAGGTCTAGAAATAATCCAGGAGGCTCTCTGGGGATAAAAACATTCCATGGTGAGTGTATCCTTTCTACTGACCCCAATACCTAGGTTCAAGTTCTAAAAACTTCATCAGTCAAATCCTAGGGGAAAAGATGATCATTATACTCAGCGGACTCAGTCAACAAAGATCATAATTATAAATCAAAAGAACAAGTTACTGAACAGTTCTGCAAATTCAAAAATAAATGAAAATAGTTCCTCTTTTGGAAATGTTTCAAAGACAAATTATATCATGCTAAGTTTCTTTTTTATTATTTTATTTTATTTATTTATTTTTTCATCGATCCTTTTTGGTTTTTATTTTTTTGTTTTGTTTTGGGTTTTTTTGTTTTTGCTGGTAATAACAGGTTACAACTTTGGGCTCACAGTTTTTTAGGGTAAATCCTATCAGGCACAATCCACTTCCATGAAGGTGGCATTATTAATGGATTCATTTGCAGGAATTGCTCATTCAAACCAGGAATTCTAAGTTTCTTTTTTAAATATGTCTTTTTTAAAAAATATATATTTTATTGATTTTTTTACAGAGAGGAAGGGAGAGGGATAGAGAGTTAGAAACATTGATGAGAGAGAAACATCCATCACCTGCCTCCTACATACCCCTGACTGGGGAGGTGCCCGCAACCAAGGTACATGCCCTTGACCAGAATTGAACCTGGGACCCTTCAGTATTGATTTTTAGAGAGAGGTAGGGAGGGGGATAGAGAGAAAGAAACATCAATGAGAGAGAAACATCTTTGATTGGTTGCCTCCTATACTGAGCCCGAAACCAGGCATATGCCCACACCTAGAATCGAACCGTAACCTCTTGGTTCCTGAGTCAGTACTCAACCACTAAGCCACATAGGTCAGGCTATCATGCTAAGTTTTAATCAATGCCTGTGAAGCTTACCTATGTGATTAAATGGCCACTTTGGGGGAAGAATCAATTTTAAAATTGTAATATATAGACTTCCATTCAGTAAACTATCAGCTTACAAATCTATCAATCAACTAAAAAGAATCTAATCTGATTTGGTTATCATTATTACCAACACCCTGTAAAGGCCCAGTTGCCACTCTTCCTTACAGCTATCTCAGCAGATCCCTTGGGGTAAAGATACTGAATTTTACCACACTTGCCTCTGACCAGCAGTGATTGTCACATTCTCTGCAGGCAGAGGCACTGAAGACACATTAGAGGCAGTGAAGATCTTGGTCTCAGAAAGCTGGAAAACAGAGAAATTAGTCACTCCTGGTGTTAGGTAGGTTATAGTCAGAATCCTGGCATAAGGGGAATTCATTTCATCAAGAAAAATGGAAAACCCTTTGAAGGGGAAACTACTGTCAAGAATCCTGAATGGATCAACTTGGAAGCCCCTTCTATCCATGCTCAAGGATTTTATTAAGAGAGGAGAATCAAGATACCAAAAAATATACAGTAGAGTCACATAATATGCACACTAAACACAGGAAGGTGAATATACTTGTTAGACAGAAAAACAGAGAAAACACCTTTATATTTTCCCATTACAGTTCCCCACACCCACCTCTACCTAAACCATTTATTTATCTTCTACTGCTTCTCTCAAAGAAAGGAAAATGACAGCCTAGATGAAGACAGAAATTTTTTTAAAAGTTAATTCTTGGCTTTTGAGTAGTAAGGGCCCAAGTGCTGGTGAGTTAAGATCTTTTCAGGGATAATTTTAACCATGTGCAATTACTGCCTTAATACTGACTTGATTACACCTAGCCTCTCCACTATGACACTAAAATCAGATAAGCAATTATTGGTAATAATTCTTCAAACTATTCAAAAGCTGATTTGGTTTTATTTTGACCTTTTGATTAAAATCTCTCCTCTAAAAATAGGGAAGCCACTTCCCCAAATATATCATTCTCTGAAAGTTGCTTAAGTAGACAAGCCAAATTTTAGAAAATATTCACAACGCAGTCTAGCTCAGCTACAATGGAAAATCATCACCCTGATGTTGAAACACCTGAAATTTTAAAACCACCGGCCTAGCCACCAAAACAGTTTGACATATTATTTCCTCTTGACACAAAAGTTGTCTTGCCTGAACAGGAATATAAGTAGATTTAAAAATGTTAAAATGGAAATTCATTCATGATCACTGATAACTATAATACACAGCAAAAGCTTGAGGTGATAGGAATCAGCAAAATTCCTTTACTGAGGTACTACTCGAGCAAATTCATACAGCTTGTTTATGTGCCACCTTATGCCACCCATCTATGAGATTTCCAAGTTGTAAAGCTGGAAGATAGCCAATTCTACATATAATTTTCAATTATAAAGTTGGGCTTCAAGTAACTTAAAAGGGTTCCAGAGCCAAACAGATAATAGACTTAAGGACTTGGCACTTTAACTCTCCCTTTGTACCCACCTCCAAGCCAATTACAGTACCATACACCAATGCTCAAATGTGAACTAAATAGCAAATTGTTCCAAGTAGAGTCATGTGCCACCAGCAGGTGATAATGCACTGCCTGCCTAACTCCATTTCCAATGCTCTACCCAACCACCATCTCTTCCTGGGATAAATCCAACAATCAGATATTTGGACTTACACAAGTGCACTTGCCCTTTCCATAGTCTGGTTCCACAGAGTCCTGTTCATGCCCAGTCTCCTTCATATAACATATGTGAAATGTTCTGGCTCAGAACACTATTTTGGATGTAAAAGTTTTGGGTCAGAATCTTAAGGATTAATTTTGAGGGGTAGAAACATACCCATTTTCTATCCCTAAACACCACTTAGGGATAGAAGGCACTAAAGAAAAATGACCTAGAAATACCTACATCTTCATTCCAATCTTCAGTTCCCCACTCCTCTGTTGCGGTCCTCCATGCACCTGGGAATAAAGGAAAAACAGTGATTTTTAAGTACCAACACACAGCATGTACAGAAATCACTAATGCACTAACATTTTTGGCAGCCAGAAGTGTAACCAGAATTTAGTAACCAGAAATGACTCTTGGGCTTCAAGGGGAGGAAAGGACTATTTAGAAAAGCATACCTCAGAACACCAGGGTTTTAATAAGATTATGATTTCGCAGCTACTTTCCGTTTTTGTTACATGGCTGTACAGCAAAGGATGAGAGCAAGAAAATGCTAGAGTGCAAGACACCAACGAACCCAATACTCCAGGCGATCTCATAAGAAACGCAACCTTCAGGGAAATGGCAGTAGCCAACTTAAACCAGAACATAGCTCCACCTACTGATCTGGTGTAAGATAATGCTGCAGCCAATCTAAAGAAAGATGGGTGGCAATGACAGAACACAAATGGTTGCCCATGTGACAATGAAAGGGCAGTGAAGAAAGAGTAAAATCAATACGGAAAGCACTGACAATTATCTGCTATTGAAACTGTATTTAAAAATGCATACTTAGCCTGGCCAGCATGGCTCAGTGGTTGAGCATCAACCTATGAACCAACCAGGAGGTCACACTTTGATTCCCGGTCAGGGCACATGCCTGGGTTGCAGGCTTAATCCCCAGTATGGGGCGTGCAGGAGGCAGAAAATCAATGATTCTCTCTCATTATTGTTTCTCTCTCTCTCTCCCTCTCCCTTCTTCTCTTAAATCAATAAAAGTATACTAATTAAAAAATAAATAATGCATACTTAGCAGATGTTTTTAAATCTTACTTAACTATAGGGAATCTCTATGGATCTGTTCTTTTCAGAAGATACTGGACAAAACTTAAAAATCAAGTATGTGAGCCGAAACCGGTTTGGCTCAGTGGATAGAGCGTCGGCCTGCGGACTGAAAGGTCCCAGGTTCGATTCCGGTTAAGGGCATGTACCTGGGATGCGGGGACATCCCCAGCAGATGTGCAGGAGGCGGCTGATCGATGTATCTCTCTCATCGATGTTTCTAACTCCCTATCTCTCTCCCTTCCTCTCTGTGAAAAATCAATAAAATATATTTTAAAAAAAAATCAAGTATGTGAGCCCTAGCTGGTTTGGCTCAGTGGATTGAGTGTAGACCTATGGTCTGAAGGGTTCCAGGTTCAATTCCTGGTTAGGGCACATGGTCGGATTGAGGGCTCAATCCCCAGTGGGGGGCATGCAGGAGGCAGCCGATCAATGGTTCTCTTTCATCATTGATGTTTCTCCCTCTCCTTTCCTCTCTAAAATAAAAAATATATGTATATAAAAAATCAAGTATGTCTAATAGTTATTCTCCTAATCCTAATCATACAGAAAATCTGACCTGCGAGTTCATGGCGCAGACAATGGAGATGTGCACACTCCTCATGTTGGTAATGACAAAGGTGGGATTCAGTTTTTACAGGAGAGAGCCATAGCAATCAATATGCTCGCAAAGGGGAACTGCCCTTTCTTAAGGAACATGGGTGAAAGTTTCAATGAGAACCAGTATCCTTCCCTTTGACCAAAGGGCTACAGTAAGAAATAAAAACGTATCTGTAGAAGGGACAAGAACACTATTTTCTTTTCTAGAACAATAGTATATATTGATATACTGAATAATTTAAAGATTTATATCCAAATGGAGAAAGCGTCATAGAAAAATTAAACTCTGGTATTCAGATATTCCATTGTCACTGAAGAGAAATATTATAGCAGCTATAAAACCCACCTGAAATTCTTTAATACATTTAATAATGAAAAATCTTATTTCCTAGAGAAAAATATGCTCAATGCCGGTCCTAGGACAATAGTTAAAATTGCACCAGGGAAATTCCAAACCACTTATTAATGACAATGTTCTCCGAATCAGGCTATAGTCCAATCTCAGTTTAGACAAATTATAAACCACATTTTCCTCTCCCTCTCTACTGTTACCACTCTTCCTACCCATTGACATCCATCCCACCATGGCTAAATGAGCCTCCCCTTCTCCCCCCAAGATCTGGTTTAATGCATACACACAATCCTAGAGTAGGAAATGACCTGAGAAGTTATCTACTACTGAGATAATCTCTCAATGAAAAGATTTTATTTTTTGCACTCAGGCAACTACAGCTAGGATAAAAAAGAATGTAGATTCCTCATTGATATTTTCTTATAAAGAATGTATAAAAATGACTGAGGAAGAGGACTATACTGAAGAAGCATTAAGGAACAGAAAGAATGAAAATGATCTGAACAACAGATTAGGGTTTCCATTCCATCAAAAGAAAGCACAGTCAATATATATGTTAAATAGTCATTAAATGAACCAAATTTTCAAGAAGCAAAAACGAGCATAAAATATGGCAGAAAAAGGCAGAAAGAGAAAAAGCAGGAAGACAGAAAAATGACATATCCACAGATATTTCAGTTCATAAAAATCTATAAAATATCCGGGGCAGTTAGGCGCCTGGATGTATCATACCAGGAGCAGTCTCAAATTTTCGGGGATAATTTGACCCCTCAACCCCAATGAAATCAAGTCCTGAAACAAAAAAGAAAAAACAACCAGTGAAATTTTGCTTGTGAATGAGAACATTTGCCCCAAAAACACAATTCCCAGAGTACCTGTGGATATTTTAAGGGTAGGTTTAAATTTCTTTTTAAATTAAAAAAGGAATTTGAGTGTGCTACCATAAAAACACAAAAAGAGATCATGCATGAAGGTGAGTTCGTAATGAAATTAACAATAATGAGAATGCATGAAGCTATACCCAATACTTTTCACACTAACATGACAGTAGCATCACATAATTTTTCATTCCGACACAAACCACAGATTTTGGATTCTAGCCTCTCAAATCTGCTATTTTCCCACTCATTAGAAATAAACACAAACTTCTTCAACCTTCTCCAGTTTTTCCAACCAGAACCTTGTTGAGAACAGCGAAAGTTGGCAATCCAGGACTGGAACTCCATGTCTGATTTTTTATCCACAACTGAAAATAAAATCTCTTAACTTCTATCGCCAAATACCCAAGAACAATTTAGAAATCAAAAACAGTAACTTTTGTTATTCAGACTGCTACCAGCCATTAAGAGATGAATGAAGAGCAGTTCTAATGCCTCCGAAGTACAGAAAGTTAAAACAGAAAAGGACATTTCATAGCCAAATGGTCAAGGGAATTCAAAGATGTCTATCCTTCCAATAACTCAACATTAGTCTCCATCAATTAAAAAGCTGTATTCCAAATTAATTTATAACACAACTTGGTAAACAAAAAGCAAGTAACATTCAGGACCCGAGGTATATCTAACATCTTATGGACAGTAGATGAGAAACTGTGCCAAAGACCCTACAATGATAAAGATCGCTGATCTTTAAAAAGGGGCAATGTTACCCAGCCAGCATGACTTAGTGATTGAGCATCAACCTACGATCCAGGAGGTCACAGTTCGATTCCCAGTCAGGACATATGCCTAGGTTGCAGTGTGGGGTGTGCAGGAGGTAGCTGATCAATGATTCTCTCATCATTGATGTTTCTATCTCTCTCCCTCTCCCTTCCTTTCTGAAATCAATAAAAATATATTTAAATAAATAGGGGCAAGGCACAGAGCCTTGGCTGGGTAGCTCAGTTGGTTAGAGCATCATCTCAGTACTCCAAGGTTGGGGATTCAATCCCCCATCAGGGCACATATAAGAATCAACCAATGAATGCATAAATAAATGGAACAACAAATGTTTTTTTCCTCTAAAATCAATCAATAAAATAAAAAAATTGAAAATAAAAAGAAGCAAGACAAGTTTAATGGATAAGAAGTCCAAAAGCCTATTTCTTTACTATTAACTCATCCCCCCTCTAGAAGAGGAAAACAGAAGGAGCTGATGTCATAAGAAGTACTCTGGAGCCCAGAGGCTGCGCATATTTAAAGCAGTAAAAGTATCATACTCTCAAATATATCTTGGTGTAGCCCACAAGCCTAACATATCCTTAAATATACACACCCTACCCAGATAGAAGCACCAGTCAGCTAACAAAAGAAAAAAAAATCATATTAAAATCCTATAATACTCTACCACACCCAGAAGACTGTCCAACAAAGCGAGCAAAAAAGTCTCAAGATTTCCTTTATGCCCAGATATTGAGATTTCTTAAAAATGAAAGGAAAAAAGATACTACTACCTCTGTACGAGAAAACAAACTGACAGTGGGCTTTGATTCTGGAACCTCTTCATCTCTACAAGTAGTGGCTTGATTAATTAATTCTGGATATCTTTTCACAAGGCAATGCTAGCTACCCTAACAAAAGTACTAGGAAATAACAATTGGAGCTAATGGTACCTATATGGCATAATGGAAAGAGCATGGGCTTGTAGAATCAAATAATTCTCAGTTCAAATACTAGCAAATTTCTTCACTCCTCTTTCAATCTAATTTCGTCGTCTGGAAGGTGATGATAAATGTCTGTTTCGTAAAATATTGATGAAGATCAGGTGAAAATTTGTATAATGTGCATACAGACACAAAGTAAAGAAAACACACAGTAATTCATTTGTGATTTTCTCCCTTTCTCCCCCTATCTCTGCAACCCAAAAACTATTCCTCCACTTTACATAATTATAACCTCAAAACAATTATTTCCTTAGGTTCCCAGAGACAAAAAACGAATAAAACAGTCACTCACTCGTCCCATCATCTGGCTCGAAGTGGCCAGTGTTGTTCCACGTACTGCCGCTATTATTGCCATAGTTATCATCAGTATTGGCTGGTTCTGCATAATCAGCTGGGTTAAAGGTTCTGGGGGGTGGGGTGGGGTGAACAACAACAAAAAAGCTTAAAAGAATCTCCGACAACTAAGCAGTACCAAGAAAAAATTAACTCAAAGAGGAGGGCAATCAGAATGTTCAATGTCCCTTTCTTAGTACAAATCAATCACGGCCCCTTTCTATAATCTATGCTGTCAATTTTTCCTCACCTATCACCCTACTTAAAATTTCATGGCATAATCTCAATTTATATCTACTATCTATTTTGGGTTAGGATACCAATAATTGTAATAAAATTCACATGAAGATTGTGGGAAGATAGTAGGTATATGCATTCAAATTAAGCTGTGAAACAGAAATACCAGGTGGTAAAAGCTTTTCCTTAAAAAATAAGCCCTGTCCTGGCTGATTTGCTCAGTGGATAGAGTGTTGGCCTATGAACTGAAGGATCCCCGGTTCGATTCCAGTCAGGGGCACATGCCTGGGCTGCGGGCTCCATCCCCAGTAAGGGGTGTGCAAGAGGCAGCCGATCGATGATTCTCTCTCATCACTGATGTCTCTCTCTCTCCCCCTCTCTCCTCCTTCCTCTCTGAAATCAATAAAAATAAATTTTAAAGGAAAAATAAAAGTAAGTCCTAAGTACACACCTTTCTGATTAAATAGTCTAGACCAGTGGTCAGCAAACTGTGGCCCCTTGAGTGTGGCTCTTCCACAAAATACCATGTGTGGGCGCGCACATACAGTGTGATTGAAACTTCGTGGCTACTCTCAAGGGGTCAAGGAGCCGCATATAGCTCGCAAGCCGCAGTTTGCCGACCACTGGTCTAGACATCTTTTTTTTTTTTTTATATATATTTTATTGATTTTTTACAGAGAGGAAGAGAGAGAGATAGTAAGAAACATCGATGAGAGAGAAACATCGATCAGCTGCCTCCTGCACATCTCCCACTGGGGATGTGCCCGCACCACAGGTACATGCCCTTGGCCGGAATCGAACCTGAGACCTTTCAGTCCGCAGGCCGATGCTCTATCCACTGAGCCAAACCAGTTTCGGCTAGACATCTTTTTTATTACATTTTGGTTAAGGTTGTCTACTATTATACACAGGACATCAGGGTATTAGCCACCCTAAAGACTTTGACATTGGATCAAGGAAACTTACCCCATTCCTTGAGCAGAAAACCTTCCTCCCCGCCTACCAGAACCACCTAAGGAAAGAGAAAAAGACAGAAATGTTGTAGAAATAAAACAAAACTAACTTGCCCACTGAGGCAACTCAGAATATTACGCGGTTAATATTATCAGATGTGCTTTTTCTTACTCTGTAGTGCATCCGTTCATATAAAGCAGTAGGATAATCATTACTATTGACAGACTGTTCCTTTGCTGATCATACTGCTGGGTCCTCAAACAAATACAATAATATCAACAATAAAACTAGAGGAAATGACATCCATCTTCTCATTGCCCACTTAGCAACCTCCAAAATTTGCATGACATCTCAACTATGAAGGTAACTAGACTCTATGTAAATTTGTTTTGAAATAATGCACACCCCTACAAAACTAGTAAGAGTCCCCAATGTCCAGCCCTCCCCACACCGTAATGATCACCTCTGCCTCGTCCACGACCTCTTCTGCCTCTCTCTGTGCCTCTTCCAGAAGGCCCTCCACTCTTGGTGCCATCTAATCCATTTTCCTGACCCCGAACTGGGAAAAACAAAACAAGATGGCCAGAGCAGAATCAACAGAATATACATAAATGGTATGTAAGTAAATATATAAATGGTATATATATATACACTGATGGAAGACCAAAACGAGAGAAAAAATGAGCTGGGAGGATGGAACATGATGGTTACTAGGGGAATGGTGATGAACCACAACAGAGAACTGTAAGTCAAACTTTACAAATAGTTACAGGATAACTTAATGCCAAACTGGTGGCTGCTGCTAGAAAGGCTACTGTTAAGAGACACCAGGGTCTCCGAAGAGATAATGGCAAGAAAATATTTAAAAAGGTGATATAATGGTTACTAGGTCCGGCCTAGCAGGGCCTTGACAACCCTGAAATCTGGACATTACTGACCCACAGCTGGTTTTGTTAAAGCCCCATGCATACACTCTCGTCCACGGCTGGTGCCTCTTCCCCGTCTTGGTGGCCCACCACGTCGCCGACTATAGTCTCTGTCCCGGTCTCGATTTTCTTTGCCCTCCTCATTGGATTCCGTTTGGCCACCATCCTTCTGTCCTGAGACTCCTTTCTTCTTTCCGACCATCTCCCAGGAATGCTAAAGGGCAGAGCATTCATAGCTAATCAAATGGATTGCTACCAGGAAACCAGAGATAAAAGCGGGAACAGCCCTGCTGCTGTGTCTCAGTGGCGGAGCATCTATCTATGAACCAGGAGATTGCAGTTAGATTCCCAGTCAGGACACATACCCAGGTTGTGGGCAAAATCCTCAATGCAGGGTTTGCAGGAGGCATCCAATCAATCGTTCTCTCTCTCCCTTTCCCTTCCTCATTCTAAAACCAATAAAAATGTATTCTTAAAAAAGAAAAAAGCTGGGACAACTGTTAACCATTCTCCTCTCAGCATCCAAGTCTAAGATACCTCTAACTAATTTACTTCTATTTAAATGGAGGGTACAGAAAGAATCTCAAAACAAACTCGACACCAAACACTGCACAACTGAAGTTCTTTTTTAGGGGAGGTGCTAACGGACTGCAGAGATCACTTCCAAAAGGATCGCCAAGATCCTTATCCAGTTTAGTCACTTGGCATATTAGTCAAAAGACTTAGTTCCTGGTCCCTAGCTTTCAAGTGTGTTTCCTTAGCTGAAAAAACTAATTTCCTATTGATTCAGTGTGGATTCCTAATTTTTTATAATCTCATGCGTGTCAAAGAAAGCAAACAAAGAAAACGGAAAGTTTCTAAGTTAACTTTGAATTCAGAATGAGTAAGCAGCATTCAACTCTTGGGCATATACTCTAACCAAGCAATCCAGAATTTAGGAGGAAAACAACAGCACCTACTTCCCCACACAACATCCCAACTTCCTTTTCTTAAAAGACCAAATAGCAGCCAGGAAGGCACCGCCCTGGCCCCAAGACATGCTGACTATAGGAAGCCTTCCGTTCCAGGTTTTATGCACTGTGTTCTCCCCTATACTTCCTAAACTTATATAGCCCAATTCAGCTTTCCCGAAAACAGAATATTCTATAATTCATTCCAGAAAGAAAATTTGTGGTAAGAAAAATAAGCTGAACAGTCATAAAATACTCATTCCTTAAGAAAATGAATTTTATAAATTTAAAGTTTTAAACATACACATATCTTGATTTACACATATTTTTTCAGAAAATATATATAAAATAAAAATTCCAGCCGAAACCAGATTGGCTCAGTGGATAGAGCGTCAGCCTGCGGACTGGGGGGGGTCCCAGGTTCGATTCCGGTCAGGGGCATGTACCTGGGTTGTGGGCACATCCCCAGTGGGAGATGTGCAGGAGGCAGCTGATCGATGTTTCTAGCTCTCTATCTCTCTCCCTTCCTCTCTGTAAAAAATCAATAAAATTAAAAAAAAAAAAAAAAAAAGAATATGAACCAGGCCCTGGCCAGGTGGCTCTGTTGGTTGGAGTGTTGTCCCGTACACCAAAAGGTTGTGGGTTCAATCCACAGTCCAGGTGCACACAAGAAGCAACTGATCGATGTTTCTTTCCCCCCATTCCACCTCCCCCCCACCAACTCCTCTCTTTCTAAAAGCAATAAACACACCCTTGGGTGAGGATGGAAAAATAAAATAATATAAACCAGGTATAATATAAAATTACTATTAATATTGTCAGGGTTGACAATAATATTGTGGTCGTATAAAACAGCAGTCGCCAACCAGTGGTCCGTGAGGTCTGAAAGGTTGGTGACCACTGGTTTAAGGAAACCTTTGGAGCAGCAGTTGCCAACCAGTGATCCTCGGACCACTGGTGGTCCGTGAGGTCCGAAAGGCTGGCGACCGCTGGTATAAAAGATCATCCTTCACCCTGGCCAGTGTGGTTCAGTGAATAGAGCATCAGCCCATGCACCAAAGGATTATGGGTTCAATTCCGGGTCAAGGGCACGTACCTGGGGTGTGTAAAGGAGGCAACCAATCAGTGTGTCTCTCTCACATCAATATTTTTCTCTCTCTCTCTCCTCCTTTCACTCTCTCTAAAAATCAATGAAAAAATATCCTTGGGTGAGGATTAACAAAAAAAAAATCATCTTTCTTTAAGGGAAGCATGCTAAAATATCTAGGGAATAAAATATTATGATATCTACAATTACTTCCAAATAATCCCAAATATCCATCAATGGATAAACGGACAAACGGAACGATGGCATATACATATACTGGACTGTCAAGCCTTAAAAAAATGGAATTCTGATACATGCCACAATATAAATCTTGAAAACATTATGCTAGGTGAAATAACAATAAAAGGACAACAAAATAACAACAAAAGGACAAGTATATTATATGATGCCACTAGAATAGGCAAATTTAGAAACAGAAACAGAAAATAGGTTACCAGGAGTTGATGGGAGGGAGAAATGAGGAGTTACTATTTAATGAATACAGAAAATCCATTTTCAATTCAGTTTGAGAAATGCAAAACTCCTGAAAATAAATTGTAATGGTTATACAACTTTGTCAATGTACTTAATGCCTAAATTATACACTTTAAAATGGTTAAAACAGTAAATTTTAAGTATATTTTACCAAAATGTTAAAAGTTCTTAAGTTCAAAAACATCAATTTAAAATTATGGTAAAAACATATCTACATATTCTAAAGTCTACAATAAATAGTTTACAAAAATAATAATTAAAAATATACATATTAAGTATCCACCAAGGACTTGGCAGCTCCTCATTGCCTACTCTTCCAACCCAAGTTGATTTCACATTACAATTGGTGGGTTACTTTCTGCTTACAGAGGCTTCAATTCCTATGTTAGCATAGCCCTCTAGCTAAATCTGCATTAGAAACAATGAAAACCGGACTCAAAACAGCTAGCTTTTAGAGTTTTTGCTAGTCTGTCTTAAAACCTAGCAAGTTTCAGAAACCTGTTGTCTTCTTCCTCTATGGCATACAGTAGCTGCTGGCACCAGATAACTTCCATAAGGAAAGAGAATTACTATGATTTTCCCGAAGATACTGCCAGTTTTCTGATATGATCGCATCCACCCAAATACATCCAACATCCTTGGCAGCCGACTTGGCTCCCATTGATTTCACTAGTAGCTGGTTTATTTGTAGCATAAGCCCACATTCTCATTAACTTTTTTTTAATCCTCACCTGAGGATATTTCCCACTGATTTTTAGAAAGAGTGGGAAGAAGGGAGGAAGGGTGGAGGGAGGGAAAGGGGAAGAGAGAAAGAGAAACATGGATGTGAGAGAGACACATCGATTGGTTGCTTCCTGCACGTGCCCTTGACCAGAAATCGAAGCCTGTGACTAGGCCAACGCGCTAACCTTTGAGTAACACTGCCAGGGCTCCAGTTTGCTTTTCTTTTTGATACTGTGGAAGTTCAAACTTGAAGCACTAGACAGAAGATGCTGGAAGGTGAAAGGAAATGTGACTTGTGCAAAATTAGACTTTTAAAAAGCATGAGTAGCCAGTCCTACCTCTTCCCCTTCAAAAATACCTTGGGACAACTATTCTAGAGTAAACTCAAAATTAATCAAAGGCAGTTATATAACTGCCCAGGCAATAATTTTCAAATAAAGTCAATAATGTAAAATCAAACCTGGAACCAACACTTTAAAGAGAAAAATGCACAAATTTAAATTCAATGATTAAAGAAAGTTTTCCACTATGATTTCCCATTGACTAAAGAAAACTGACAAACCTACAACATGCAACTAATGTGACACTGTAACATCAGTAGATTACTCAAAGGATGAACTCTGGTTCTCTATCCCAACCCAAAGTCCCCAGTGTAAGACCAGGTAAATGAAAAAGACTTCAAAATGATACAGTGCTCATTAAACAAAAATAAAAATGAAGTCCTCTATTAAGCACTGCAGAAACATCCCAAATTAGTAAGGCAGAATAGAATCTCTGTTGTTAAAGGACTTATAATTTGGTACAATGATAAGACAAGCATAAAAACACAGGATTCTCACCGAGTGGGAAGTAGAGGAAGAAGTAAAAGCAATTCTAAATTCTAGAACGAGACCGTCCAAGATATTCCCTTATCCTCTCTAGGGATGGTCAAGAGGCTGTAAAATTTTGTTATCTGCTACCTCAACAGAAATAAGTTCACATGATGAAAAGGTATTGGAAAACGAAGAGCTGATATTGATGGGAATGTGCTGAAGTCAGAATCCAGTAGTTTGTGATTTTGTTCAATGACAGTAAAACAGGGGAACAGAAGTCTTCCATATTAGCAGCTACAGCTATGAAATAGCATCTCTAATTCATACTAATCCAGTCCTGAAAAGTCACTAGCCTAGAGTGAATAATTTATTCTAGGCCAATTAGAAGAACCTGATTTTATGTTTTCTGCTTATTGTACATTAATTTTAAGTATTTGCAACCTGCAGCAAACAATCTTCGAAGTAGTTCCCAGCTCTATATGAAGAATAAGGTACTCTGTTTTAACTGAGTTACCCCATTTGCTATTTTTAGAATATTACTAGCATCTCAGCCAGGGACCCACATTCTAGAGCACTTTATTAGCACTATACCGTATCTGGGTTTCCTTCCAGCAGGACATTGATGGCTCTGTTGACATCTCCATTGCAGTCATGCAAAGCAATGACACATTCATCCTGGTTCTTGCCTGTGATATCAATCAACTGAAAAAGAAAGATCAGCAGTGATCATGAACAAGTTTGTACTCCCACCAAAACAACAACAAAACCTGGGTGAAGAAGAGAAAACACCAGCTGAGTTTGAAAAAACCAGGCTTAAAAAAACAAAGCAGAATTTTGGTGTTCTAATTCCAAAAGCAAAAAATACCAGTGACCAAAAATGGGATTAAAGGACTTACATACAAAAGCAATCAAACAATAAAACATCTAATAATCAAACTCAGAAACACACAGACTTCGGCATAACATGAACTTCCACACTTCTAGATGCCACAATTGCTCAATGTTGCTACAGAAGGGCATCAACAAAGTCAGTCATTAAAGAGGTTGAAATTAAGACAAAACCTCTGAACAAGGTATCTGTCCAAAGGGTCAGTAAATCAGACAATAAAAGCACTTATCTACTGGCTTAACCTATCATATTTCAGGTCATAACTCTTTTAATACCTATAACACGAAGTACCCTGGTAGGCATCTATGCATTAATCCAGATTTTTCCCCCCATAGTTTACAGCAAATTAGCAATCCACTCACTTGTTTCACCTTTTCCTCAAAGTCAGCATCATTATGGTCTGAAATCATCTGTGCAAGTCGAATTTGTTCCGCAGTGGCCTAAGAATTGAGATAAATAGTAAAAAAAAAAGAGCATGATTGACAGACAACAGTTTAGAGCAGGGTTGGGGGACCTTTCTTCTGCCAAGGGCCATTTGGATATTTATAACATTGTTCACAGGCCATACAAAATTATCAACTTAAAATCAGCCTGCTATATTTGGTCAAACATTTAATTAACTCACCCCTAATGCCTTGGCAGGGCCAGACCGAATGATTTCGAGGGCCTTATAGCCTGAGGGGCAGATGGTCCCCACCCCTGGTTTAGAGAAATAAGAAGGACCCATGTAGTCAATATCCATTGTATTTCCCACACGTTTCCTTCTTGTTACAAATGACCAAGTAATAAAATCCTAACTGCCCTGGCCAGTGTGGCTCAGTTGGTTGGAGTATCAGCCCGTGCACCAAAAGGTGGTGGGTTCGATTCCCAGTCAGGGCACATGCAGGAGGCAGCTGATGGATGTTTCTTGCTCCCTCTAAAACAACAACAACAAAACACTAACAGCATTTGAGATGCTTAAGTCAGCACAATGACAGAAAACAAAGAGTAAAGCTGGTACT